CAAATGATTTTGCAGTCTGTACCCCTTGTTGCATTGTAGTCACTGAAGTTTCTGTTGCTGTATCTATGTGGCTGGCCTGTGACCTGACAGACTTCTTTAAATACTTTGACCCAGGTCCTGAGGAATTGGGGGGCCGGGGGGGGGGTGTTTGTTATTTTAAAATCTTATGATTGGGAGAAACAAAATTATAATCAATGCTGCTGGGGAAGCCACTGCAGCCTAAGGGGGCCAAAACAAAACTGTATGGATCGACCATACTGGCCAGAATGCAAACCCTACAGCTTTTGAAGGACTTAATCCTTGTTGTCTTCCCTGGTGTGAGCCAGCCACTCTAGGAATGTGGGCCACTGTCCCACAGGCTGGGGCAGGGGGTTATAGTCGGTTTGTGCATACACAACATACAGGTCTTTTAGTGAGGTTCAGCAGCCTCTCCCTTCAGTGAGCATTGTCTTGGTTGCTACAAGTGTCTGATCAGATTCCAGAATTCTGAAATAGTTGATTCTGATCATTCAGCAGTTTACTGGTTGTTTTGGTAGAGGGACTAATCCCTAGAACTTCCTACTCCACCATTTTCTCTATTAATCACTTATGACATTGATTTTTGAAGAATTGTTTTTAAAAGTTTTGTTCTCAGTCTTTTAAGATACCACAAAAGACACTTTCGTCGAGATGAAAAGAGGGGATTCCTGGGTGGCTCAGCAGTTTAGCGCCTGCCTTCGGCCCAGGGCGTGATCCTGGAGTCCCGGGATCAAGTCCCACATTGGGTTCCCTGTATGGAGCCTGCTTCTCCCTCTGCCTGTGTCTCTGCCTCTCTCTCTCTGTGTGTCTCTTGTGAATAAATAAATAAAATCTTTTTTTAAAAAGAGAGATGAAAAGATTAGTAGTCAGTAATAGTGTTGGGAAAATAGGCTAGATGCTTTGGAAGGAAAAGGGCTGGATCCCAACCTTATTCCTTATGCCAAAACAAACTCTTTGTGTAGTAAACATTTAAATACTTTTTTAAAAAAATGGTACTGGGGGAAAACTAAGTAATTCTTTTTACTTTTTAAAAATAACCTTGGAGTGGGAATGCCTTTCTATGTCTAATACAAAACCCTGGAGCCATAAAAGCGAAGGTTGGGTAATTTATATACATTTCAAAGTTAATTTCCTTCGTTTATAAAAAACTACAAATCAATGAGATGAATTACCCAATTTATTTGAGCAAAGAATATGATAATTTATAGTAAAAACAAATGACCAGTAAACATGAATAAAGAATATCTTTCTCATTCATAATTAAAGAAATGTTGATCAAAACGACAATGAATCATGGATTATTCACTTAGGAGATTTGCAAACTTTTTTTTTCTGGTTTGATGATGTCTAGTGTTAAGACTATGGAGGAGTAGACACTGTTGTTTACTGTTGGTAAGAGTATGACTTGGTGCAACCCTTCTGGACAGTAGCTTGGTAATATACATCAAAATTAAAAAAAAAAAATGTCAAAGCAGGGCAGCCCAGGTGGCTCAGCGGTTTAGCGCTGCCTTCAGCCCAGGGCCTGATCCTGGAGACCCGGGATCAAGTCCCATGTCAGGCTCCCTGCATGGAGCCTGCTTCTTCCTCTGCCTGTGTCTCTGCCTCTCTCTCTCTCTCTTTCTCTTTCTCTTTCTCTCTTTCTCTGTGTGTCTCTCATGAATAAATAAATAAAATCTTTAAAAAAATGTCAAAGCAGTCCCACTGGTAGAGATTACCTTTAAATGTTTCCAAAGATATGCTGAGATAGTTATGCACAGATATATAATTATATTGTCTATATTATAATAGCTTTGCTCATAATTTCTAAAGCGCAGACAACTGAAATTCTATAAGAAGAGAGTTGCTTAAATTAAGACATGTCCATATAGCAGGAGTTATATAGTCATTAAACAGAACTGCATTAGCTCTTTCTGTACTAATGTGATACATTAGTCCGTTTGGGCTACTTTAACAAAATGCCAAAGACTGGGTGGCTTATAAACAACAGAAATTTATTTCTCAGAGTTCTGGAAGCTCCAAAGTCTAAGGTCAAAGCACTTACAGATTCTAGGGAGGATCCACTCCCTGGTTCATAGATGGTTTGCCTTTTCCATGTGTCTTCACATGGCCAAAGGGGCAAAGTAGTCTCTGTGTCTCTTTTAATTTTTAAATTTTTTTATTAAGTAAACTCTACACTCAGTGTGGGGCTCAAACTCACAACCTCACGATTGAATCACATACTCTACTGACTGAGCCAGCCAGGCACCCCTGGTATCTCTTATAAGGGCACTAATTTTATTCATGAAGGCTCTGCCCTCGTGGTCTCATCACCTAAAGGCCCTCCTCCAAATGCTATCACCTTAGGGGAATAGGTTTCAACATTAATTTTGGGGGACACAATCAGTCTATACCATGTCAGAAGATCTGCAAACTCTATTAAGTGAGAAAAGCTAAATGCAGAATAAAATGTACATAATGAACCCATTTGGGTAGGGATTTTTAAAGGATATAAATGATTTATTCTGACATATGCACAAAGAAGTTTCTAGAAATATATGATTTTTTTTTAAAGATTTTATTTATTTATTCGCAAGGATACAGAGAGAGAGAGGCAGAGACACAGGCAGAGGGAGAAGCAGGCTCCATGCAGGGAGCCTGACATGGGACTTGATCCCGGGACTCCAGGATCACGCCCTGGGCCAAAGGCAGGCTCTAAACTGCTAAGCCACCCAGGGATCCCAAATATATGAATTTTTAATGGTGATTTTCTTTGGGAAATAGTAGGAATAAATAGTGAAGAGTTTTTTGTTTGTTTTGTTTGTTTTAGATTTTATTTATTTATTCATAAGAGACACAAAGAAGACCTAGGCTTCTCGGGGGGAGCCCGATGTGGGACTTGATCCCAGGACCCTGGGATCATGTCCTGAACTGAAGGCAGACACTCAACCGCTGAACCACCCAGGCATCCCGAATTTTGTGGGGTTTTTTTAACTATTTTTTTTTAAGGTTTTATTTATTTATTCATGAGAGACACACAGAGAGAGAGAGGCAGAGACACAGGCAGAGGGAGAAGCAGTCTCCATGCTGGGAGCCTGACGCGGGACTCAATCCCAGGACTCCAGGATCACGCCCTGGGCCAAAGGCAGGTGCTAAACCGCTGAGCCACCCCGGGATTCCCCCCGAGTTTTGTTTTTTTAAGCAACTTTCTGTAAATGCTTTTACATGTGTGTATTCCCCCCACCCCACCATTTTTTCAAAAGTCTAAGGTGATCTTTGTGGCCTAGCTGAGAATGTTTACCCAGATACCGTTCTCAGAATTTCCATACTTCTCTAAGTCTTATGCTTATGTACTATTTAACTTCTTCTTTTGAAATTGCAAATACCTGAATAGTTTGTTTCCTGGTGTACTTTTGTTTGTTTTAAGTTATCACAAAATGTTTTAAGAGGTATAGCCATAAATTAATACTTCTTTGTAGACGGGCATTAAGGAGGACACGTGATGTGATAAGCACTGGGTGTTATTTGCAACTGATAAAGTACTGATCTCTCCATCTGAAACTAATAATGTATTATACATTCGCTGATTGAATTTACATAAATAAAAATAAAATAAAAATACTGTCTTTACTTGTTAATTATTAATGACTAACCTGGTATTTTGGCATCTTCCCAGAAGAGGCTGGCGATGTTATAGGAAAAATAGCATAGACTTTGAAGTCAGAGACCTAGAATCCTATCCCAATTTAATACAAATTAGTTCTTATTTTAACTTTGGGAAAGTTACTTGAAATAGCTGAACTTGAGAATATCAGTCTCCACATTTGCAGAGTCATTATATTAAGTGATAAAAAGGTGTACAGTCTCTGCTATTTAGTAATTACTTAAGAAACATTAGTTTATTTTCTTGATCTTTCTCCCTGTCTCTGAAAGATGACTTTCAGTCTTTGGGGGTTTGTTTTGTTTTGTGTTTAATCTCATACTTAGAAAATATGGTATTTAACATTGGATATAGTATTAGAGCTAGGTGATGGATAGCACCAATAAATCTCTTGGGTTTAATAGTTTATTTTCATTTACTATGGAATTATGGGGCATGAGCAGGATTTCAAACAGTGTTTATCTTGTTGCTTGTTGCTGGGTTAGAAATTTTCTCTAATGCTTGACTGCCCCACAAAATATATTTACTACTGTAAATGTCGTCACTACAACACAGTCCTTTATTCTTTGTTAACAACTTTATCTTCAGATTGAGTTCACTCAGTAACAGGGACAATATTTACTATGCTCTTTGGTCTATAAACAACTTGGAGACCACCAGATAGAAGAAATACCTTGCCATCCTGCTTCATTCTGCTTCACATCAGAAGCTCATAAAGAGCTAGAATTCTGATGGCCACCAGAGAAACTCACATACATTATTTGGGCTTCAGTGAGATTGCCCCTGTGGTGCTGAGGGACTGAAGGCAAGATTGTTCTGGACACTTCAACCCTTTTTTCCCTCACTCCTGCACTGGCATCTAGCCTAATGGTCTCCTTGTAGTTCCTTACAGTTGCTGAGTTCATTCTTGTCTCAGAACCTTTACATAGTTTTTCCTTCTTCCCACAATTCCATCCTCACTTCCTCACCCCAACTTGGCAAATATGGATCGAATCTGAGGTCTCTTAAAATTTTTGGCCTTTTGGATAGGATGTTTGTTTTGACTAGAAATATTTAGTTGGCTTGATTTAGGAGATTTGTATAGCTTACAGATCACATCTTTGTGGTTTCTATTCTTTCATTCACAGACATAGGCAAAATCAGGAGTTAATACTGAAGAGTGGTGGGTGGTTCCTGTTTGGGGCATACTCAACACCTGCAAGACTTGCTCTGGGGGATGAATGTTCTACCTACCAGTATGCACAGGCAAGGGGACTTTATGGAACTGTCGAACTTGTCTTCGTTTTCTTAGTGAACAAGTTTCTGTATGGGCCAGAATTAGTACTAATTTTTTTTTCTCTTGTAGCACTGAACAAGATTTGTGATGAAATGGAGCCTGGAACAAACTCTTTTCGAGTAGAATTTCCTGATTTTTCCAGTACCATTCTGCAGAAACTGAACCAGCAGCGCCAGCAAGGACAATTATGTGATGTCTCCATTGTTGTCCAAGGCCACATTTTCCGGGCACACAAAGCTGTTCTTGCTGCCAGCTCACCCTACTTTTGTGACCAGGTACTCCTGAAAAACAGCAGGAGGATTGTTTTACCTGATGTGATGAACCCAAGGGTGTTTGAGAACATTCTCCTGTCTAGTTATACGGGACGTCTAGTAATGCCTGCTCCAGAAATTGTTAGTTACTTAACAGCAGCAAGCTTCCTCCAGATGTGGCATGTGGTAGACAAATGCACTGAGGTTTTAGAGGGAAATCCTACAGTCCTTTGTCAGAAGTTAAATCATGGCAGTGACCACCAGTCTCCAAGCAGCAGTAATTATAATGGCCTAGTAGAGAGCTTTGAGCTAGGCTCTGGGGGCCATGCTGATTTCCCCAAAGCCCAAGAACTGAGGGATGGAGAGAATGAAGAGGAGAGCACCAAAGACGAGCTGTCATATCAGCTTACTGAGCATGAATACCTTCCCAGCAACTCGTCCACAGAGCATGACCGGCTGAGCACAGAAATGGCGAGCCAGGATGGAGAGGAGGGGGCTAGCGACAGTGCCGAATTCCACTACACCCGGCCCATGTACAGCAAACCCAGCATAATGGCTCACAAACGCTGGATCCACGTGAAGCCTGAGCGCTTTGAACAGGCATGTGAGGGCATGGATGTGCACGCAACCTATGATGAGCACCAGGTCACTGAATCCATCAATACCATGCAGACAGAGCACTTAGTCCAACCTTCGGGAGTAGAGGAAGACTTTCATATCGGGGAAAAAAAAGTGGAAGCAGAGTTTGATGAACAGGCTGATGAAAGCAATTATGATGAGCAGGTGGATTTCTATGGCTCTTCTATGGAGGAGTTTTCTGGAGAGAGGTCAGATGGGAATCTAATTGGGCATAGACAGGAGGCTGTCCTAGCATCAGGCTACAGTGAGAATATTGAAATGGTTACAGGGATTAAAGAAGAAGCTTCCCATTTAGGATTCTCTGCCACCGACAAGCTGTATCCTTGTCAGTGTGGGAAAAGTTTCACTCACAAGAGTCAGAGAGATCGACACATGAGCATGCACCTCGGTCTTCGGCCTTATGGCTGTGGTGTCTGTGGTAAGAAATTCAAAATGAAGCATCATCTCGTGGGCCACATGAAAATTCATACAGGCATAAAGCCGTATGAGTGTAATATCTGTGCAAAGAGATTTATGTGGAGGGACAGTTTCCACAGGCATGTGACTTCTTGTACCAAGTCCTACGAAGTTGCAAAGGCTGAGCAGAATACTGAGCAGAATACGACTGAGGCTAACTAAAAATAGGATCTGGCCCTTGAGTGGCAGGCACAAAAATAAACTATGGTAATTATGCAAATCTGGGCACAGATGATGCGTGCTACTTGCTATTATGAGAGAAGCTTAAAAAAAATGGAAGATATTTCTGAAAGACCAGCTCTAAGTAGGCCAATTTAAAAATCTAATTCCTCAAATTTGTATGTTCCTGTCCAGGCCTGGAGTGGGTAATGGGGAGAAGTTAACCCACCTCCCAACTGGCAAGGTAAACCTTCAGGCCCATTGTTGAGATTGAGGCAGGTGGACTTGGTGATAGAGACACCTGCGCTTGGAACTGGACTCCAACCTACCAGTTCTGTTTCAGGTGGCAGCAAATTTTGATCACTCATTACAAGGTCATGTTGGAATTTTATTTAGCTCTCCCCATAGATACTTAGGTAATGTGGATTTGTTTTGGTAGCTGCCTCACTGAATGAAATGCTACTTAATGTAAAAGCTACAAATTATGTGATTCCTGGGATGCTAAATTGATTAACAGATCTCTCTTCTCTGGTTTTATTCTCTCTAAAGGGTATTTTAACTAAAAACTATGGCGATGCTATGAGGGCGACGTTCTAAGTATGAAACAAATAACGGTACAAGCTTCAATTTCTGTGAGATGCCACTGTCACGATGTGTTTCAGATTCTTGATAAGGCAAAATTTTGTATTTTAGTACTAACATTTAGTTTGGACAATTGTATCTAATTGTAATTCTCTAGGGTGCCAGAGATAGGTATTTCTAATTGGTTTGCTGTCCCAAATCCTGTTTAATTATAGCATCCACACAGTGGGATCTGCACTGTGGCTAGTAGGCGTCTAGCCTGCTTTGACTCTACCATGGTACCATTGACTGCTGCAGCCATTTCTCTCTCAGATTATAATGCTTCCTGAAGAGGTCATTCAGTGACCACAGTTAGTGGGAATGAGCCAGAAGTCATGGCTGAGAGTTACCTGCAAGCATAAGGAGTTTATAGGGGGCTATAGTGACACTCCAACTGTCAGTGAGAGTTGCTAAGTAGCAGAGTTTTGAGCGGCAGGAGAAAACTGCCCAAGCAAGAGGAATCTTGAAAATACACTGGTAAGGGATGTAGTTTTAGAGGGGCACACTGAGCTAATGCTGCCAGTTCTTTAGGAGTGCTGGGATGTGTTTTCAAGGGGGGAAAAAGGAACCCTAACTTTAGAAAGTAGTCTACAGATTCATGCTCCCAAATTCTAGGTAAAGCTGCATAAATTTACAAGTCCACATAGCTGTACTTACCAGAAACCAGCAAGAAAAGCAGCTGTTCTTGCGACCTTTTCTGCAGCTCTGTCAGATGTTTTAGGTTAAAAAGGAAGCATATATTCAGGATGCTTTCAAGCTGTGTCATATACCTGAAGTTCTCACTAGGGTAGGACAGGGTGCTACTATTATGTCAACTTTTCCACAAATTACTGGTCTTTTACTTCCAAGTGGAAACTTTTTTCCTGAAAATAAAAACTTTTCCTGGATTTGAGGTGAAATTTTGTTTTAAAAGTTTGGCTTTGCTCTAATGTGATAGACATTGCTGGCAATTGCCTTGAGTCCTCAAGCTCCAACCACAAAGGCATTTACTGGTTGAACCTTGTCTGGAAAGGAGAAAGAAAGTACTTATTTACCAGTTAACTCTTGTAGTCAACATTACAGAACAGGGATCTATCTATTCATTAACACTGTATCATTCTCGATATATAAAAAGCACTTTGTATTTAAAACTTTATTATAGATATATATATATATATATATTGATTTTTTTAACCTAGAAACTAGATAGTACCTCTTGGTTGTTTGCCACATTAATATTCTCTTTGTGTCGAAAATTCACCAGTTAACAGTCCTTTCTCTGCATACCTGACAGATGTGTATAGAGGTGACTGTGCAAGCAAAGTTCAATTGCTCCTTCTCTCTTTTTTTTTTTTTTCCATGTTAGAAGCCAATGGATTTTAGGAATGATCCTAGCCATTATGTGTGAGGAGAAATTGTTTTTTTATTCCTACTAATTTCAGTACTAAGGCAGTGAAGCCATTTTGTTCTGCCAAAACTGATCACCTTCTCCCATGGTATTAACAAATCATTTTCTGCCTGTTTGGAAGGTTTGATGTGCTGTTTCCCACTAAGATTGTTATTCAGATGAGCATTGGGACATTATGGGAGAAGAGTCTGGGAGGTAAAATAAAAATATTCTAGAAAGTATTCTAGAATAAATAAAAAATTCTAGGGAAAAAAATGGTTCTTCAGTTATGCTGCAATTAGCACAGCACCTTTGTTATGAGTAAAGATGAAGAACTCTTGTTTAACCAGGAGTGGTGGGCAGCCCTTGGGTGGCAGTTTGGGAAGTAGTCACTTGTGCTGGGACTTATTTCATGTGTTGTGAAGAAAGGTGTCTTTTATTGAAATCCTTAGATGTACATCAGCTAAGTACAGAATTTAAAATGTAAGTTCCTCACATCTGCTGTTTTAAGTTGTTTATGGTAGTTGGGGTTTCCTTTAAAATTTGGGTTGCTAATCGGGTCAGCCAGACCCTGTGAGATGGTTGGGCATCTGAAATGCTGGCCATGTTCAGAGAGGTGGGGGAAAGAGATTGCCTTAGTTTGGATAGTGAAAGTGAATTTTTTTACACTTTGCTTTTTAGGATTAGGAGATCATACTGGATTACTACCTTTTTTCTCCTGCCCACTTCGGGTTGGATAGTCTCTTTCCTTAGCCTCAGTACAGCTTTAGAAAATCTTTATCCTTCCAAATGAGTTTGGATAGTTGTGGGTAACATTTTCCAAACAGTCTTTCAGGGATCGTGTTAATGGCCTACAACCTAAGTATTTGTCCCCTACTTTGAGTCTTAACTGTGGTTCTTCTCCAGTCCCAGTGGGAAAGGGCTTCAGGGCACCACCAGTGGTATTTAATATTAGTATTTATACCATGCCTTTTATTTTTTATCTATACATCACAACAATCTACTTGGTCAAGTAGGGATCATCTAAGGAAGGAATACAGTAGCCTTTCCTTGAGTATTGAGGTCTATCCTCAGGCGCTTCTGGGCCCCAGCCTGTTAATTCTCATTTGTAGATCTCACCTTCCTCTAATCCCTTCTGTAGGCCACGACTTTCAAAGAGTCTGCCCAGAGGGTCTTCATTCTGGTGGCCATTTGCTGAACTAAAGTGACCCAGCACTGGCTTCCAGCTGTTGGGAAGAGCTGCTTGGTCTCAGTGACCCCTTCCTGTGGAGGCATGCGCTCTCCCAAGCTGCTGCTGAAGTGACATGGGGGCAGAGCAGAAGCAGCTCAGTTGTGTTTGTCCTGGGGAGGGGGATTTGCTGCAGCCCCCCACTTGGGTGAGGGTGGAGAGGACTCCCATCACACCAGATCCACATTTTTGTCCTTGTAAAGATCTCTGATAATTTAGTAATGCTGGAAACTAAGCAACATATTTATCCCCTTCCCCAACCCCCACCTGTGCCACACTAATTTTGTGTTTTAATTGCTTTCATGGGTGACTAACTTTGTTTAGTAAAACCAGGGTTTGTTTGTTTGGTTTTTTTCTTTGCTACTTATACATTTAAAGGTACATGTTTCTTTTTTTTTTTTTTTTTTTTAAGGTACATGTTTCTTATTTCAGATCTCTACTGATAGTGCCCAATGGGAAGATGCTGGAACACATTTTGCAAATGTGACTTTTTTTTTTTTTTTTTTTTAGTGTTCTTTGAAGCCTGTGTCATAATGTCAGTTGCTGCTGCCTTCTTTCCTTTTATGAGGTTCCTAATGTTTCTTCCAGAAGATTACTTTCTTTATGCAAGTCAGGTGACTCTTAGACCACAAAACCATTTGATGATAAACAGATTATCATTAGGTGCATATCTTATTGATATTTTGTGAAATGTTATGCCTGTGTTGCAAAAGTTGAATAGTTTTGTCTTTATATATTGCTGTCTTCAGTGTACAGCATGGTTTTACTTTATTGAATGTTACTGTTTAATATTTTCTTCTTATAGAAGAGACCATGCCCTTTTGTATGACATGTTTTAATAAATGTTATCCGTCAACTTTGTAAAAGTTTTGTTTTTCACTCTGGTTATATGACCACATGTCTTTGTTTTCATCTTGGCCTTTGCCCCTTGAGAATAAAAGTTATATTGTGGCCTTTTCATAAGTAAATGCCAAATGGGTAGTCTGACCAAATGGGTAGTTTTTTTTTGTTTTGTTTTGTTTTTTTATTTATGACAGTCACAGAGAGAGAGAGAGAGGCAGAGACACAGGCAGAGGGAGAAGCAGGCTCCATGCACCGGGAGCCTGATGTGGGATTCGATCCCGGGTCTCCAGGATCGCGCCCTGGGCCAAAGACCGGCGCTAAACCACTGCGCCACCCAGGGATCCCTGACCAAATGGGTAGTGAGTGAGCATTTGCTGTGCCAGGTATTTATGATGATTTATCTCATTTTAACTGCCCACCAGCTCCATCAGGTATTTAGGTGTGCTAGACATTCTGTTAGCTTCTTCAGACCCCTCCTTACTCTGTGCTTCTCTCTGGAGGCTTGCCTTTGCAGACCTAGGCTGTCTTCTGGTCAGGGTACGCCAGAGATAACTTTGGATGGAGCTTGGCAGGTTAGAGGAGAGAGAATTCACTGCACTGGCTACTTCCTGCCCGGTATGGGTTGACAGTGGCTGGGCTCCTCTGCCTAAGGCCACAGCTCCTGTCAGACAGCTTCAGGGTTTGGTGACCACACCCTCTCCTTGTCCTTGCCAGCTGAGGATTGGTCCTGACTCTCCATTTTGCCAGCCCTCGAGAGCTTCACTGTCTTCACAGAAGTTCCCTAACCCTGCCCACACCCTTGATAAATAGTCCTTTTATAAAACTCAGGCATCGCAGCTAAGTGTGCCCTCTGTTTCACACTGAGACCCTGGCTGATGCCTTAGGTACACTCCTTTCACGCATGAGCCTGCTGTGCCTGAGATAAGGTAGACCTATTACCAAATGTGGAACAGTAGCTGCAGAGTGGAGCTGGGATTCATGGCTGCAGCACTCAGAGATGCTTCTTTCCACTGCTCTGTTATGTCCCCATGCTCTTTATTGGGTCTCTCCCTCACTGCACTGTGCCTTGCCCCACTCATTGCCCCCTGAAAAAACCCTCAAGAAACAGCAACCGTGCTCTTTAAAAGTGCTGCAGGCACTGAGGGGGCCCACGTATTTCCTAACAACAGCTCATTACCAGAGACACTGCTTGTTTTAGACCAAACTTAACCGTCTTCCCACACAAACCTTCTGTTACCACTGTTTGTTGTGAGGTTTCTTTTCCCCTCCCCATTGCTGATTTTAAAGCCAACTACAGATTGCCTCAGCTAGCTTAGCCATTCTCTGTGTGGGAAGAAGTCCAGAAGAACCATTTCTAGCCCTCTTTGAGATGGGGCCTGTCCTCATTGACCAAGACAAACTGCTCAGGCCCTGCGGCATGGTGACCCCCCTGACCCCCACTGAGACCCCTGGTTACCAGCAGTCCAGCCCACCTGGGGAACAGGCTTCCCCACACAGCTCCCGCAGGGGCGGAGACCTCTGGGGTGTGAAGATGAGAAGCACTGTGTTCCTTATCAGGAGAAAGCAAAAGATGGAAGTGGCTCGTTTGTATTTGGGAACAGAAGGGGGGTGGGATGTGAGGGGTGTAACCCAGATGGAGCATATAACACCTGTGCAGTTTATTTAGATTTCCTCATAGTCAATTCAGGAACTGCTTCCCACCAAACCACCAGAGTATTTCTTGAGACAGTCTCCATCCATGCCCAGGCATCTTGGAGGGTACACAGCTCTAGAATTTGCCCACAATGGACCAGCTAGCAGGTCAGCAGGAAATGAGGTAAGCTTGAGCTTGATGTAATAGTCATTTATTATTTGGTAAATGATTTTAAATATGATCTTTATCTCCGTGCAGAAAGTGAAAGATGAGAACTCTGTGCCCTTCCAACTCTGTCTTGTCTTTAGAAGAAAACTTGGTCAGGACTCTGTTCAGAGTTCAGTGAATGGAACACAGCATTTTTCCCCCGTAATGAGAAACTAGAAGGGGACTGAGTGGGGAAGGAAGTCTCAGTCTTACTTTGAACTGGTGTGACTAGTTTGAATCAAAACGAAGTAATGTAATTTTATAACCTACCACTTTCTTGTGGCCTGTTACAATTACGGGAGAGTCACAGTGTCCTTTGAAGGGAGTATGTGGGCTCTAGAAAAACAAGGTAATTCATAAGCAGTATTGTAGGTAAATACATGTTATTAAAAAAAAGTGGCATTATATTTAGACTCTAATGACTATGAGTTCTATTTTTTTCTTCCTCGTATTCCAAAATAAACCAGTACTGAAGCCATTAAATGTTGTATTTATAACTTAATAAGATACTAGTTACTCCCCAGAGTATACTGGTCTGCCTAATGCAACAGCTAACCTGTATTAATGGAAGCCACGGAGTGCTTTTAGAACTGCCCCCATCTTGTTAATTTGCGGGTCAGTAGTGCTGTGATAAAATCTAACTTGTTAGGGTTCTCTGAAAAGATCCCCACCTTCATGACACTCCACTCAGTGATGGGTAGATGCCAACTCAGCAAACACTGCTCTAATTCCTGCAGGGTCTGGCTGAGTGGAAATTGTAGGCTTTAAAATGAAAGCAGTGACCTTGAACCTAAATAGAAAGGACTGGTTTTTATGTAATTTATGTAGTGTGTCATAATGTAGAAAATATCATTGGTCTACTCAAAATATGAAGATCCAGAGAATTTTCTTGGGGTGAATTTTTTTTATTGCAGGTCTGTATATTTATTGGGCTCTGAACATCCATTCAACCCACTGAACATCATACCTACTTTAATGAGTGTAAGAAGAATTGGGATTACAGCCTAAAAATAACAGCTCTAAGTGAAGGTTCATTGCATGCTTAATATGTGCTAAGTACTTAACTTGCATGAGCTCATTTATTCCTCCTAACAGTCCCATTGAGGTAGAATTTTATTCCAGGCCACTTCATGTAGCAGGAAAGGATGATAGCTTCCTATTCTATTGGACAGGTAGGTTTTTTTCCCCTCAGGGAAACCTCTTTCTACACCCTACTCCTGGGACAGCAAGCTGTGTCCAAGGGTAAGATTCAGAGAATCTCAAGAGAGTTGTCCCTCTCCACCTTCAGGACACTGAGCGTGTCTTCTATTGCTGGGGAACACTTACCTGGGCTGGCTTATCCTTCCAGTGCTTTTAGGTAGTGGGTGACTCACCCAGTATCCCTCAGGCTTTTGCATGTACTGTCTTTAGAGAAATAGAGACTCTATGCAGAGACTGTTCCAGTTCTGGCATCAGCAGGTAACCCTACTTGAACATCTTGGGCTTGGGAATTACAGGTAGAAATTAAACCCAGGGGAGAGTCCAATACTTTCCAGCTGGTAGAAAAGTTCTATCAAGGTTTACTGCAAGGAATGGGTAGGAAAAAGAAGCATGACCCCACCACCACCCCCTCTGACAAGGGCAACTTTCATTTCATGTGGTATAGTTAACGAACTGCACACTCCTGTTCTAAGCTCTTTCCATGGATTGACTCTTCACTCTGACACCAACCCTGCAAGGTAGGTGCTATTGCCAACTCTGTCTAGCAGTATGCAAACCCAGGCAGCTTAAGTCCTGGGCTCCACTAAGCTTATATGTGCTCTATTGCTGTCCAGTGACTGCCTGCATAAGGGTTTATGTTAGATCACCCAGAGGAAATCCCACTCTGCTGGCTGGTGTCCCAGGTGTTAAATTTGAATGTAAATAGTCGAGAGACAGGTTCCAAAGGCCAAGGGCTTATCTGGGCTGCCTGACCACTGCTCTGGTGTTAATCTCCAGGAGATGCTGGGTTTTGGCGCCAGTTGCACCTACTTATCTCTGGGTTGGTGGGCCCCAAGTTGGCCCACCCTGTTCTTACCAGCCTCTGGGACAGCTACTCCTTCACAACAGTGTCCACTCCTAACCTATTCTCCTGTCACTTGACTGCCCCAAGCCCTCCTCCTTCCTAAGCAGACCTAATCCTGTCACTGCATGATCCACCTGATGGGATCTTCACTCAGCTTGGTACCCAAGGCCCTGGTCTGACAGTTGCCTACTTGTCTGTTCATGTCTTCTGATCACCACTTGGGCTCTGATGCTCTCTCCTTAGGCTTTTCTTTGCCCTTGCATGGATGATTTTCTCTGCCTTGAATACTCCTAATTCTCTTTTCCATCCACAACTCCCTAACCTTTGTCCTCCTGGAAAACTTTTTATTGCTCCAGGCTCTGCAAAAATAATTTCTATGGCGCCTTCCCTGAGCATCCCTGGAAATTGATCACACCACTCAGTGATTCCATTTCATTTTGAACTTGATTCAGCTGCAGTGTTTGTCACTGTATTGTGGTTTCATATGTACTATCCATCCTTTACACGCACTTGTGTCCCCTGCTAGACAATGAGCTCCTCAGAAACAGGAACTATGTCTTGATTGTCTCTGAGTGGCTGTTCCTGGCACAGTCAAGAGATACTGCTGAACTTAAAAATAATAATCAATGCAGATTCATTGGTCAGTCTTTACCCACCAGTTATAGCCATGGACTTTGTGTTTCATCAGAGACCTTTCTTAGGAGGTACAGGCACCCAGCAATCCTGTAGTGCCCTCTTCCAACAAATGGCAGCCACCTAACTGTAGCTGAAATTGCCTGGTAGCTGAGAATTCTGAGATAAGTGCAAGTCCTCTTTTCTAACCCGAAGGAAAGATTTTATATCTGAGCAGGCACTCCGATATAAAATATAATACTGGACACCGGTTTATTTCAGTAAAGTCAGGCAGAAGAGGACATTGGGGTTTTATCAAACAATGATTTCTGGTAGAGAGAAGTCAGTGTCTGGCTCAAACCAAAATGTCAGTAGAGTAGCTTACAGTTGACAACTTGCTTTGGAAGCAGAATAAACTGAATCATCACACTCCTTGTTAAATATACCAGCCCTATAGTGAAGAAAAAGTGACTAATTTTTTTTGTTGTTAATTTCTGCTGAGAAGCTTGTTCTAGAA